GGAAACCAGTTCAACAGGAAACCTTCCACAAGAAACCCAACACTGGAACCCCAGGGCGTCCATCGATTCTTGGGGTGCGAACGTCACGCCTTCCATAGCAAAACCATGGAAACCCGAGAAACACAGGGCACCCTGGAGGCAAGCAGGGTGTTTCTTGACATGGGCCTCCACTGTATCTCGGGCGGACGTGGCGCTGCCCCTCGAATACTTCGGGTCCACGATCCGCCGGTAGGTGTCGTAGCCGACCGCGAAGTCGCAGCCCTGGCAGAGCCCCGCCTGCGGCGAGGGGGGGCCACGAACCGCGCCAGGGGGCAGAGCACGCCGCGCGCCCGCCTCGGGAAGCCGCACGGCCACCCCGAGCTTTGGCGGCGCGACCGGGGACCCCGAGGCCCGACGTCTTTAAGAGAGGCGAGACATCGTGAGAACCACGACTGGAGCCCGGGGCCCCATCTTGTTTGGACACCCGAGATGGGCACGGAAAGAATGGGCACTATGCCCAACAACAAATGTTGTCCCAAGCCAACAGCGGCCGCTGTTGGGCAGGCGGCCTTCTGTCTCGAATGGACACAGGCCGCGGCGGCGTGGACAGCGAATCCTGTTGAAAATGAACAGGAATTGTTGTTGGGCATTGTACCCATTCTTTCAGTACCCATTTCGGGCGTCCAAATCTTGCAGCGCCATTTCTCGAGGCGGATCCATCAGCGAGGGCCCCGGGGCCCAAACCTGGGCGAAGACGCCTGGCTCGAAAAGATCGAGTCGCCAGGATCTCAGGGGACGTGGAGCGCTTCTTGGAGGCCCTCCCAGCCTTCCAGGAAGCCTGCTCGGGAGCCCCCGGGCCCGCCCGAGCAGCACGCGCGCCCTCTTGGAAGGCCACCCGCCCTCGCCGCACCCCAGTCTGGTACGCCACGGTAGCCTCCTGCAGCAGTTCTGCAACGGCCGACTGTGGACTCTGTAAACATATGTCTACCTATACGACCACGCTTCGGGTGATAAGGAGGTTGTGGGGTGGGGGGAGAGGGGGGGGGAACCAACATCTGACTCAATCGATCTCACTATCGATCTCACTCAACGGGACACCACGGGACACGGGGCACTTGTCGATGCCACCATCGATCTTACTATCAATCTCACTCAACGGGACACCACGGGACACCACGGGCCACCACGGGACACCACGGAACACCCCGGGACACCCCAGGACACCCCTCGATCTCATTATCGGTCTCACTATCGATCTCACTCAACGGGACACCATCGGACACCACGGGACACCTCGGGACACCACATCGATCTCACTATCGATCTCACTATCGATCTCACTTTTTGGGACACCACGGGACACCACGGGACACCACGGGACACCTGTCGATCTCACTACCGATCTCACTATCGATCTCACTTTTTGGGACACCACGGGACACCACGGGACACCAGCGGGACACCGGGGGGACACCACGGGACACCTCGGGACACCACATCGATCTCACTATCGATCTCACTATCGATCTCACTTTTTGGGACACCACGGGACACCACGGGACACCTGTCGATCTCACTACCGATCTCACTATCGATCTCACTTTTTGGGACACCACAGGACACCACGGGACACCAGCGGGACACCGGGGGGACACCGCGGGCCACCGGCCGCCAAAGGAGAACCATTTGGTCCGGCCGCGGCCCAGCCACAGGAGGATTTCGGGACACCAGCGGGACACCGCGGGCCACCGGCCGCCGGATGAGAATCATTTGGTAGTTGGTCCGGCCGCGGCCCAGCCAGAGGAGGATTTCCTCTCTCCCGCCCACGCAACTTCGCCTCGCCCGCACGCACGCATGCACGGCACGCACGACACGAACCCGAAACCGGAATCGATTTCCCAGTAGAGGGGATCTCCCTTCCACGTCATACATATATATATATGTGCACATACGTAAGCATGCATACACATGTGTGTTTGTGTACGTATGTACGTATGGACTTATGGACGTGTGTTCGTACGGACACATGTACGTGTGCATCCTGTATGCCTGCATGTCTGTGCCTGCATGGCGGCGCCTCCAGTGCCGCCCCTGGCGCGCTCCCTGCGCCAATGAGGTACACTGTCGACCCAAGAAATCCGCGCGCGGATCTCCGAAAATGATTGCTTATGCCCTTGCTCCTTCGCCGCCTAAAGCGACATGCATAATTCGCCCCTCCGCTTCAAAATTAAATTCGCCGCCCAATCTTCTGTCAGCACCGCCCCCGCTCCCTGGGAGGGACCCCACATAGCACCGGCTTTGCCGAAGTTCGCACAGCCCACCCCCACGATGGGAAGACAATCGAGACAAGCAGCTAGGAGGAATGATCGCTCCGCCCGCTGCCGCTGCCGCTGCCAGGCAGGCCACCAGCAGAAAGATAAGCCTTGTCGGCGAACAGCGTCGCCCGGGTGATGAGGGCAGTGCGGCCAAGGTCGGTGATGGACCGCACACGCAGGAGCATCTCGTGCATCTCCAAGGCGCCCTCGGACAATTTGCAGGGGAAGGAAACTCACACACCGTCACTCTGCCAGATCACTCCGCATCCTCTCGTCCATTGCTGGTCTGCGCACATCTATGGATTTCGATGTGTAGGGATGCATGCGTAGGTACACCTTCCACGTGTGATTGAGTGGAAAGTATTATGAGGACATTTGCACTAGATGTACCTGATCCGCAGGCGACTGAAATAAGAATGCCCCGAGGGCGACGTCTGCACCAAACTGCATCCGTCCCAGCCCACCTATGTCCCGGTCTCTGACTCTATGATAATATCTGCATGCTTCTCTCTCTCTCTCTGTCTCTCTCTCTCTCTCTCTTCCTTTTCTGAGCTTGCCGGCGCTGAGGCGAGACAGCGCGCTGAATCACGTCTCTTTTACATGTTTTGTCCACGCTCCACACTGGCGCACGCATCGGAACGCTGGAGACTGCCCACGCCGAGCGTTTCTTGCAATGACCGCCGCTAGCGCGCTGAATCACGTCTCTATTGCATGTTTTGTCCACTCTCCACACTGGGCACGCATCGGAACGCTGGAGACTGCCCAAGCCGAGCGTTTTTTGCAATGGCCGCCACCAGCGCGCTGAATCACGTCTTGTTTTGTCCACGCTCCACACTGGCGCGCGCATTGGAACGCTGGAGACTGCCCACACCGAGCGTTTTTTGTAACCACCGCCGCCAGCGCGCTGAATCACGTCTCTTTTGCACGTTTTGACCACGCTCCACGCTGGCGCACGCATCGGAACGCTGGAGACTGCCAACACCAAGCGTATTTTTTGTAATGACCGCTGCCAGCGCGCTGAATCACGTCTCTTTTACATGTTTGTCCACGCTCCACACTGGCGCACGCATCGGAACGCTAGAGACTGCCCGCGCCGAGCGTTGATTTGTAATGACCGCCCCCGCGCGCTGAATCGCGTCTTGTTTTGTCCACGCTCCACACTGGCGCGCGCATCGGAACGCCGGAGACTGCCCACACCCAGCGTTTCTTGCAATGACGGCCGCCTGCGCGCTGAATCACGTCTCTTTTACATGTCGTGTCCACGCTCCACACTGGCGCACTCATCGGAACGCTGGAGACTGCCCACGCCGAGCGTTTTTTGTAATGACGGCCGCCAGCGCGCTGAATCACGTGTTGTTTGACCCACGTTCCACACTAGCGCGCGCATCGGAGCGCTGGAGACTGCCCACACCGAGCGTTTTTTGTAACCACCGCCGCCAGCGCGCTGAATCACGTCTTGTTTTGTCCACGCTCCGCACTAGCGCACGCATCGGAACGCTGGAGACTGCCCGCGCCGAGCGTTTTTTGCAATGGCCGCCGCCAGCGCGCTGAATCACGTCTCTTTTACATGTTTTGTCCACGCTCCACACTGGCGCACGCATCGGAACGCTGGAGGCTGCCTGCGCCGAGCGTTTTTTTGTAATGTCCGCCGCCAGCGCGCTGAATCACGTCTTGTTTTGTCCACGTTCCCCTTTACCGCGCGCATCGGAACGCTGGAGACTGCCCACACCTAGCGTTTTTTGTAACCACCGCCGCCAGCGCGCTGAATCACGTCTCCTTTACATGTCGTGTCCACGCTCCACACTGGCGCACTCATCGGAACGCTGGAGACTGCCCACGCCGAGCGTTCTTTGTAATGACGGCCGCCAGCGCGCTGAATCGCGTCTTGTTTTGTCCACGCTCCACACTAGCGCAAACATCGGAACGCCGGAGACGTCCCACACGGAGCGTTTTTGCAATGACCGCCGCCAGCGCGCTGAATCACGTCTCTGTTGCATGTGGTGTCCACGCTCCACACTGGCGCACGCATCGGAACGCTGGAGACTGCCCACGCCGAACGTTTTTTGTAACCACCGCCGCCAGCGCGCTGAATCACGTCTTGTTTTGTCCACGCTCCACACGAGCGCACGCATCGGAACGCTGGAGACTGCCCACGCCGAGCGTTTGGAAGGCGATCTGATATGTTTGTTTTGCGGAAGTCTCAAGCGGAATCACACTGTCAGACGCTAACCCAGTTTGGCCGTTCTACGATTGAAAGGGGGGAGGGATGCATCTGGAATTCCCGACTCGGCCCCGAGTGCAACATTGTCCCGGGGCCCCGTGGCCTAACGGGAGGCCTACCGTGTCTTCCTCGGTCCCCACGGTCTCCACTTTTTAATCCAGCGGGTTGACCGCCGCCAGCGCGCTGAATCACATCTTGTTTACATGTTTTGTCCACGCTCCACACTGGCGCACGCATCGGAACGCTGCAGACTGCCCACGCCGAACGTACTTTTTGTAACCACCGCCGCCAGCGCGCTGGATCACGTCTTGTTTTGTCCACGCTCCACACCTAGCGCACGCATCGGAACTCTGGAGACTGCCCACACCGATAATGACCGCCGCCAGCGCGCTGAATCACGTCTGTTGTACATGTTTTGTCCACGCTCCACACTGGCGCACGCATCGGAACGCTGAAAGCTGCCCACACCGAGTGTTTTTGTTGCAATGACCGCCGCCAGCGCGCTGAATCACATCTGTTGTACATGTTTTGCCCACGCTCCACACTGGCGCACGCATCGGAACGCTTGAGACTGGCCACACCGAGCGTTTTCTGCAATGACCGCCGCCAGCGCGCTGAATCACGTCTCTTTTACATGTTTGTCCACGCTCCACACTGGCGCACGCATCGGAACGCTGGAGACTGCCCACGCCGAGCGTTTTTTGTAATGACTGCCGCCAGCGCGCTGAATCACGTCTCTTTTATATGGTTTGTCCACGCTCCACACTGGCGCACGCATCGGAACGCTGGAGACTGCCCACGCCGAACGTTTTTTGTAACCACCGCCGCCAGCGCGCTGAATCACGTCTTGTTTTGTCCACGCTCCACACTAGCGCACGCATCGGAACGCTGGGAACTGCCCACACCGAGCGTTTGGAAGGCGATCTGATTATTTGATTTGCGGAAGTCTCAAGCGGAATCACAGCTTCAGACGCTGACCCCATTTAGCCGTTCTAATATTAACAAGGGTAAGAGGTGCGTCTGGAATTCCCGACTCGGCCCCGAGTGCAACATTGTCCCGGGGCCCCGTGGCCTAACGGGAGGCCGACCGTGTCTTCCTCGATCCCCACGGTCTCCACTTTTTTAACCCAGCGGTCTGTAGGAGACACCAGCGCAGCCGAAACTGAAGCGATAACAACATTCCGAGCCAGGATTGTGGCAGGCGCAATGCGACAGCATCCCTTCGAGCAAGGGTTGGCTGGCGCTGAGCGACAGCACCATTTCGAGTTTGAGTGCCGCCAGCCTTGAGGCGAGATCCATCGGACCATGGAGCCACGAGTTCGGAGCGTGGGACCACCCACCGCACGGATTCCAGGAGGAGGAGGAGGATGCGGAGGAGGAGGAGGAGGAGGATGAGGATGAGGAGGCAGAGGAGGAGGAGCAGGTGCACTACAGAGGGCCTGGCTTCCGAACATAACCCTTCGCAGAAACACGTGTTTGCCAGCGTGGGCCGCAGACAGGACACGATTGCACGGTGGGTGTGCAACTGTGTGGTGCAAACTATGTGATGTAAACTATGTGGTGCAATGTACGTGGTGCAACGCATGTGGTGCAAGCTACGTCGTGCAAGCCATGTGGTGCAAGCTATGTGGTGCAGGCTACATGGTGTAAGCTCTGTGGTGGGATATATGCGTTGAAGGCTACCTGGTGTCGGCAATATCGTGCATTCGATGTGGTGTAAGCTACGCGGGGTAAGCCAACTGATGAAATCTACGTTGTGAAATTATTTCTTGTCAATTCGTGAGTTGTCAACTCCACTGCTCGCGCAACCATCGCACCCTGCACCGGCAAGTTGTGCGGCAAAACCCATGCGGCCACGATTAAGGCTGCCGATTGGCACTTACTAGCGCGTCTGTGCGGCCGCGCTGGCGCGCCAACACTCGCGCGCAGGGCGACCAGCTGGTTCGGCACAACGGATGCGGCCGCAATGGAGCTTACTGATGGGAACTTCCAAGCGCGTCTCAAAGGCCACGATGTCGCGCGGTCACTTCAGCGCGGGTCGGCGACTCGGGCGGGAACTGTATCATGATGACACCGACAACGGCGGCAACGATGATGATACTAGCGATGGTTGTGGCGATGATGGCGATGAGGACGACAGGGCCAATGACGGCGCCGATGCTGGTGACGACAACGACGACGACGATGATGATGATGATGATGATGATGATGATGATGATGATGATGATGATGCTGGTGGAGGCGATAATAATAATACTAATAATAATAATATTATTAATAATAATAAAAATAATAATAATAATAATAATAATAATAATAATAATAATAATAATAATAATAATTATGATGATGATGATGATGATGATGATAGTGCCCATGTTTCGGTGATGATTGTGCTTGTGCTGATGATGGCGGCACGGGCGGCGATTGGCAATGACGGTAACGGCGTTGATGCGGTGGCGCTGGTGAGGGTGATGGTGAGGAAGTGCGCGCGCAAAAAGTCAAGCCATCTGGCAAACTTGGCGTTGACAAGCAGGTTGTATGTTATTGAGTACAGATGTAAATATCCGCCGATCCGGCGTGTGAGTTTGAAAAAGCCTCAGCTACAGCCTACAGCCTACAGCCTGAGCTTCAGCTCTGCTGGAGGGGGGCCGAGGTGGCTCTTCCGGGGAAGGGGGGGAGGGGGGGGGGGGACGAGTTGTGCTCCGTTTTCTGGGGGGGCTCCTAGGGCTTGTCGCGGCTACCCGCGTGTCTCTGGGAAGGGCATTTTTTGACACCCCTCACGAGGATCGTAGCCTCCGAGGGGGTCCCGAACTCGAGTACCCCCCCTTCCCGCCCCAAGAAGCTCTCAAGAGGCCCCCAAGAGCCCCCAAGAAGCTCCCAAGAGGCCCCCAAAAAGCTCCAAGAGGCCCCAACGAGGCCCCCAAGAGGCCCCAAAGTGGCCCCAAGAAGCCCCGCAACTGCCCAAGAGGCCTGGGGGGGCCT